TGGTTGGTTCAGCCTTGCTGGGAAGCCTGTCCAGGTCATTCTGGGACCTTACTCCAGCCTCCCACCCCCAAGCACTCAGAACCTGTGCCTCAGTGGACTCTTGTCTGCTCCCTCTTCCAATGCTCCAGTTCTAATTGCTTGGCAGTGCCATCCTGAAGGTTTCAGTCATGGCCAGAGTTTCACCTATATCCCCCCTGCAGGCAACCAGCACAGGAAAGGGCCCACAGTAAGTGCTCACTCCTGATGAGAGGGTACCCCAGGAGGCATTTGGAGCTACACCGGAGGCAATAAAGTGCAGCCACATCCCCAAGCTGATTCGAGATGGATATTAAGAAAACAGGCAGGGGAAGTGCCTCTGGAACAGAAGGTGCTGAGTTGGTTCCAGAGCACCGAAAATAGATAAGCCCTAAATCTCAACCCCCAGAGGGATGAGAGCGTTTCGTGAGCGGCCTGCCAGGAGCCTGGCATTGTGCAGGCATGCGCCTTCACCGACTCTTCCCTGCGCCCCCCAGGTGAGCAGATGGTTCCTATTCCAGATCAGACACCGGACTCACAGCGGTGAGGTGACTTGCCCAAGGTTGTGCAGCGGGGGACACACCCTCAGGCTCCAAAGTTCAGGCCCTTCCCAGGACATCCTTCTCATGGGGCTCCTGCTCGGTAACCCTGGTCCAGCCAGTTCCATGTGTCCCTAAAGCACCGGGACCACCCTAGTGTGGTGCCTCCCACTCTGAGTCCCTACTTCCCGTACCTCTGCTCTCCCTTGCTCTCCCCGTGGCTGTGCAGCTGGTGAGGGAAAGATGGCCCCTGCTTTCCACATTTGTGGTGACCATCTGTGTGGACTGGATTGCGTCCCCCCAAATTCACAGGTTGCAGCCATCACCCCCAATGCGACCGTAGTCGGGGATGGGACTTTTTACAGAGGAAATCAAAGCTCAACGAGGCCCTAAGAGTGGGACCCCCCTCCGACAGGACTGGCATCCTTAGGAAAAGAGAAAGAGACACCAGATAGGTCCCTCCTCCTCCTCCCTCCCCCACTAAGTGCGCACAGATAAAAGGCCGGGTGAGGACACAGCGAGAAGGTGACCATCTACAAGCCGATGAGAGAGGCCTTGGGAGAAACCACCCCTCACTCAAACTTGGATCTTGGACTTCCAGGTACAAGAACTATGAAAAAACGCATCTCTGCTGTTTAAGCCCCCCTCCCGGGCTGTAGTCTGCTGTTAGGGCAGATCAAGCTAATTCAGCCTCCCTCCCCCGGCCCAGGAAGAGAACACCAGCTTTTAAACTTGCCTAGGGAAGCCCACGGGCTGCTCCTGGGCAAGCACTGGAAACCCCCGCCCCCCAGCAGGCCTGGACTGAGTGGAGAATGGAGATGGGCACAGGGAGGTGAATGTGCAGCCGTGTGACAGGGGAGGGCTGCCTGTGCCTGGGACCTGCCCTGCCTGCCTAGCCCCCCAAGGACAGAATCAAGGATCCGTGCAACAGGGAGCAGAGATCTGAGGTCCCGCTATGGTGACCTGACCCCTCGAGCCTGGGAATAGGCTGGATCCAGCCTGTTCCCTTTGGACAGTGGGAACAGGGCCCAGTTTCTGTCTCCTTCTGGCAAGCTCCCCTGGCCTGGGCCTCCTCATCTCTCGCAAACCTTCCCCTTTCAGGATAGCACACCTTCTGCCCCTCCAGCTGTCCCCCAGAACTTGACCACACTGGGGGAAGGCCCGGGCTCCTCCCAGACCCTGACTGCCTCCTCTGTGTGACCATCAGGCAGAGGAGAAGCACAGAAAAGCCTCATCCAAAAAGCACCCACAAAAATGAGACTCACTCAAGGCAAACGGCGCAAGACAGACTCCAGCCGACAGAGACCACGATGCTGTGTCTGCCCTCCCTCCCCCTAGGCAGCTCCACCCTGACTCCCATCCCGTGGCCCCGCCCCGTCCTGGAGGGTCCTTCGGGACCCAGCCTTGGTAAGGGTGCGGTCAGCGGGGCCTTGGCCCAGGTGGAGCTCTGGCTGGCCCGAGCAGGGCCGCAGAGAGCAATCAGGTCTGCACAGGGTCAAGAAGTAGCCTCCAGGCACAGACAGTAAGGTCCAACAGGCAGGGTCCAACTGGACACAGAGAGGCGGTGGGCTGCCAGCCTCCCTCACGTCCCTCCCTCAAGCTGCCCTCCAGAGCGAGGGCCTGTCCTCAGCTGAGCGCCAACCAGGAGGTCCTTTATCCACAGGAGGCTCCCTCTTAGCAGTTGGGAAAGATGAGGTCTTTGGGGAATTGTCCGGAGTTCCAGAAAACCACCAAAGGCTGCTCCCTATGCCACTGTGGGCAGAGACCAGAGTCACCAGGGCTCCAAAGAGAAGACAGGGCCAGGAGTCCTGAGGATGCGACCAGGAGAGCCACCTGGGGGAAATGCAGCAAGTTAGGATGAGGGCACAGACTCTATCCCCAGCATCCCACACCCCCCCCCAACCTAACCCTACATCTGAGGGGGGACACTGTCAGAGACCCTCAGTCTCCCTAGACAGGGTGGGGATAAGGGCTTTAGACACTAATGACTTTTAGAAGAAACTCAGGAATAGCTTCTCCACCCTGGCGGGGCTACCTCAGGGGACAAAAAAGCAATTAAGAGGAGCCGGCAGCAAGGCCAAGGGCATCATGGGCAGAAAGGGGGCAGGGTTCAGGTGGGCAAAAAGAGCCTTCAGAGTCCCCAGGAGGCTTGGATTCCCTTACAACATTTCCACGGAGGGGACTTCTGCACCACCCTTCCCCAGTATGTACACACACACACACACACACACACACACACACATACACACACACGCACACCTCCCAGGACGGGGAGCTCACTCCTTCGCTGAGACTGCAATAAAGCATATTCTCGTGTGAAGATCTGAGAGGGTGGAACCGTGTCTCTGGTGTTCACCTCTGAATCCCTGGGATCTAGCTCGGAGAAGGTGCTTGGTCCGCGTTTGTGCTGAATGAGGGAACGTACTGAAAGGTCTGCCGTAACCCACCCATGGTGGTCTTGTTTCCGTCCCGCCCACCCCCACAAGACCACGCGAGCAAGCCTTCCAGCCACTGGGCTCCCCAAACTTCCTAGCGGGGGCAGGGAACGATCATCCCCCATAAAACTAAGCTCAGTACCGCTTCCTTCCCCCGTGCTTACCCAGGCGTACCTGGCAGCACCCAGCCAACACGTGGGCAGCTCAGGCCCAGCTCCCAGCTCCTTTCCCGCGCAGAACCCATCCTGGAAGACAAAAGAGCCAACCACACCGCAGGAGAAAACTGTACCGAGGCCCCCTCCCCCTCCCCAGGCCCTGGCCTGGCCAGAAGTCTCTGCTAACAAGAAGCCCCCCATCGCCGGGGCCAGAGAGGCTGGGCCCAGGCACACTCCCCTCTGCCCCCCTTCCTCGCATCCCAGAATGTCCTCGGGATAAGGGGAGCTCCCTAACCCACCTCCTTGTTCCCCAACAACAGCAGAAAGGGCCCCAGGACAAAGGAAGACAAATTCAGCTCGGCAACAGCTGAGTGGAAGCAGTGAACAGAGTCAGGAATCCAGAGTTCTGATCCAGCTTTGCCATCCTGTGTAGCCCTGGGAAGTCTGTCCCTCTCTCTCTCTCTCTCTCTCTCTCTCTCTCTCTCTCTCTGTGTGTGTGTGCCCAGGGATCCTTCCAGCCCTGCATTCACCCAGAGTGCACAATACTAACCCACAGTGTGAGGCAGTGGAGAGGAAATAGGGACGCCCTACAGCTCAGCCTTGGATACTTTCCTGACCCCATCAAATGCCTGCGAATCCTGACCCAGAATCCTTTCTCGGTTTTCGGTTTTGCTTCTGGTAACAGCTAAGCTATCTTCATCGGCTGGCAGAGCTGGGCCAGGAAAGTCAGGGTGCCTCTCAGTGTGTGTTCAGAGCTTGCTCTGGGCACCTGGGACGCAGGGCACTGGTCCAGATCTGGAGGAAAGAATGTGGCCCTAGAGTCACGATGCGGGCGTCCCCGCTCCACTGCCAGGTAAAGGAGCCCTGGGCCAAGTTTTACGAATATGACAAGGGGCCAGCACTGACAAGAGCCACCAGGAGTCCCCAGTCCCCTCCTGACTCCTTCTGACACCAGATCTACGGGGTTCTCGAGATGAGGTCATTAAACTCAAGTCTACAGAAGTTCCTGATGGTGGAGTTGACAACATTCTAACCTCCGTGCCGAAAGAGGGCTGTGACGATCACCCTTTGGGGCCCCATACAATGGGGACAAGGTCTTTGTTTGTGACCTAGAGGGCTAGAAAAGCTGATCACCCATTTCCCCTCCCACGTGGGGATTCTGAGGTTCTACACTTTCTTGCCAGACCGAGAGAGGGCAGGCGGGTAGGCTGCGGGCTGGTAAGTTGGAATACTTATCTGCAAGACTGCTTCCCTAGGAGGGTGGTCAGGAATGTTCAGGAAGAATTCAGAAATCCCCTTCTCTCTCCTCTGTCCCAGGGCCTTGCTGTACTCTGTAAATAGACCCTGGACTGCTCAGAGGAGCATGGCTTGCCACAATGGCCCTTCCCCTGGCTCTGTGGACCCCGATATCAATAAGGCAATGAAGGTTTCGAGGGAAACATCAACCCCCGGGTCAAGTGGCAGCTGTCTAGAAGGGTAGACAGGAAGGCGTGGGTGTTATGCACAAACAGCTGAGACTATGGCTCCCCAACCGCACGTACCCGTTGTGCAACTCAGTGTTCATCGTTCTCCAAGGGTTAGCCAGTGCCTGGCTCACGGTGAGTGGTCCCAAAATTGTCTTCACGCGTTGAGAAAGTCTCTGTGTAACACCGATGTCCCAGAAACAGGATATGCCTCCTGGAATGGGGGTACATTTACCCCAGTAACACAGATCAAATTAAAATCTTGTCCTCATGGATGGGTAAGCAAACAGTCGTACGTTCGTATAATGAAAGCTACTCCTCAGTATAAAGGAACAAATGATTGTTACGTTACAACTTGGATGAACCTCGAAGATATAATACGGAGTGAAAGAAGCCATGTACAAGAGACCACATGCTGTCTGACTCCATGTACGTGAAATGTCCAGAAAAGGCAAACCTACAGAGACAGAAAGCAGATTAGTGGTCATCTGGAACCAAGAGTGGGGTGGTGGAGTTGAGCAGTAAGTAGGTGTGGGGAGACCTTACCGGGGAAGTGGAAATATCCTAAAATGGATTTATAGCCGTGGGTGCACAACTTGGTACATTTGCTAAAAATCATCGAACTGTGCACTTGAAATGAAGGTTACGACATTTACACCAAGCTTCCATAAAGTCAGTCAATCCGAAAAAGGATTGAACTACTGATCCGCGCCATAACAAGTACGAACCTCAAAACATCATCCTCAGCAAAAGAAGCCAAACACAAAAGATTCCATATTAATGGAACTTTAGAAAACACAAGTGTAGTTTCTAGGCACAGAAAGCAGATCAGTGGTACCCTGGGCCTGGGGCTGGGGCCAGGAAGGGACTGACAGCGAAGGGACATAGGGGAACATTTTGGGGTGCTGAAGATGTTCTAGACGTGGATTGTGGTGATGGTTACGCAGATGTCCGCATTTGGCAAAAACACCTTGATTGAAATGTATGCTTTGAATGGGTGCATTTTATTGTTATATAAATCATAACTTGATAATGTTATTTTTCAAAACTCCTTTAGATGTAATGACAGAGGATAAAAATCGAGAAGATCCAGATCAAAGGCCAGACAGAGACCTCCGTGTGGCCCCAGGACCTTGGCATCTCAGCTCCCACTTAACCCCCACGGACCCCCCCACTGAAAGCCAAGATCAGGGGCCCCAGCAGGGAAGCTCTGCTTGAGGTATTGGACTCCAGAGGATTCTAGAGGTCCCTCCTACCTCTGAGATTCAGGGGGTTTCCACCCAAATGGAAGGCATAGCATGACACTGGTGCCTGTTACCCCAGGGGTACACAGAAGGGTCACCTTGGTTGGTCCTTTGATGCCCTAGGGTCGTGGTGGTCATGTCAACATGTCTGGAACCCCATGGGTGAGCAGGGAGATGCGTCCAGCTGTCACTGAGAGAGAAATAAAGAGTAGGAGAATAAGTATGTACCCATGGGTACACTGGAGAGGAGATGCCAGGGTCAGGCTAAAACGGACATCCTCAGATGCAGATCAGAAGCAAAACAGGAAAGGCACCTGGGTGGCTCAGTCGGTGAAGCGTCAAACTCTTGGTTTCGGCTCAGGTCATGATCTTGGGGTCCTGGGATCCAGCCCTGAGTCGAGTGGGGCCCCCGCGCTCAGCGGGGAATCTGCTCCTCCCATTCTCCCTCCGCCCCTCCCCCCACTCATTCTCTCTTTCTCTCAAAATAAATTAAAAAATAAAATCTTCAAAAAAAAAAAAAAAGGAAGGAAAACACGAAACCCGGAGGTATCTTGGTGGGGCCGGCGCCAACCTAAACATCCTAACGCATGGGACAGGACATAGGTTCGAACGCACGGGCTCCGTCCTGCTGCGCCACGCCGAGCCAAGTGCACCACGGCTCTGGGCCTGTCTTCTTACCCACGAAATGGGATAATAATGGTGCCCACGTCACGGAGCTGCCGTGAGGATCACATGGGATGATAAATACTACCTATTAGCGCGCATGCTATTGTTTTCTTACACTGTTAGTACTACCATTGCACACACGGCTCATTAACACCATCGTGGGATATCCCTGTTCCCCCGAAACTCTGTGCCATTCCTGGTAAGGGGGGGGACAGCTGCCCGGGGAAATATGCATTTGGTTGCATTTTAGGGTCCCTCTGGGTTCTTGGGTTTTTGTTTTTATTTCCCTGACTCTGGAATAAATTGCTGCTCAGAGAGCTGGCATACGGCAGATGTTGGCCTAAATTGTTCTGGATGAGTGAGTGTGGAGAAATAACAGGAACCTCCTGGCGATAAGGTGAGAGAGAGGCGCAGGAGCCGAGCTGAGGGAAACAGACGCGTCCACAGAGCTGTGGAAAGGCCCGTTTCTGGACAAACCCAAATGGGCCACACACAAAAGAGGAGCTTTGAAATTCAAGTCGCCCACACACAGGGCCCCCCCCCCTCCCCGAGCTGCAGGGGGAGGGAGGAGAGCCAAAGGAGGAGAATGAAGGGAAACCAATGCATACTGAGGACAGATGCTAACTGGGGGCACTTTCACCTACCTGTCAAAATAATAAACGGGGTTTTCTTGTCCCCATTTTACAGACGAGGAAACGGTTTCGAGGTGTCTCACTCCAAAATCACCCAGCCAGAAAGTGGTGCAACTGGATTCTAAACAGGCTTGTCGAACCCCAGCCGGGCGGAAGACTTGTGTTCAAATATGGGGTGGGGGTGACACAGGACAAGACCCCAGGAAGGTACGTCCGTACTGCAAATACTGCATTCAGCAGCGTTGTTACCGCTGTGGGGAAACTGGCCCACAGTCGCTAAACCATGCTGGGTTCTTTGATTCCAACTGCTTCCACGGTCTCAAGACAACTAATTTAAGTTGACATTTAGGAGAGGAGGTGGTGGAGTGTAGTAGAGTCAAACACACATTTCAGAGTCAGAGGGACCCAGGGTCAAGTCCTGACTCTCCTTCCAACTGGCTGTGTGATCCCGAGCTAATCACGCCACCTCGCTGAACCTCCGTTTCTCAGCTGGAATGCCCAATTCCCAGCCTTTCCATGGGGGTCTCCATGAGGCAGCACCCAGCAAGAAGCCTGGTAAGGGGTCACGGAACTGTAAGAGGCGATGGTTATCATTCATTATCTACTCCATACCCTTGAGGACACAATGGTTCAGTCTGTCCCTCCCTTCCATGACTCATCCAGCTTCCATTGGAGCCCACCTGGACCCCAAGGGCGGGGGAGGGGGGCGGGGACACCTGCCTCATCTGATCTGATCAGCCTGGAGAGGGACCCAGAGACAGATGTCACTCCCAGCCAGCCTTTGCCTCTGCCCCTGTGTATCTCTGGCTATTGTTCTACAGAGCTCCAGCTGACAGATGAGCCAGGCCTCAGAGACTAGAAGGATCCCCTAGGAACAAAGGACTAGCCTATAAGTTATTCACCAGCCCACTGAACTTGCACAATGGACCCAGTGCCCCAGAAACACCCCCACCCTCCGTTCAAACAGCCCAAGGGTCACCCAGGAGAGGAACCAACAGCCCCAAGACAAATAAAAGCAAATAACTAGAGATCAATACAAGACTCAGGGGCCAGGCAAGCGAACTCAGCCAGGACACAGTGGGCTAAGTGGGCTTATTACTAAGCAATAATATCTTTATTAGGCCCTTACTGGCTGCAGGCACTTTATACATACTGCTTCACAGCCTTCTAAGGCAGGGATTATGATTCCCACTCTACAGATGAGGGGACTAAAGCTCAGAGGAGGGAAATTCCTTCCTTACTGAAGCTGACCTAAAAAGTAGTGACCTGGGTGGAAGCATGGATCAGATCCAGAGAAGGGACCTTAAAAGTGAAGATAAAAAAAAAAAAAAAAATGGAAAACTGGCTGGTCCAACAAAAGGGAATGAGTAGAGTACGTTTGTCTTTTCCAACCTTTAACAATCATCATGCATTTTATTAAACGTATTAAATTCGTTTTTAAAATCACCCCAAATGACAAAATTCTCATTTTTAATGCAAGCATAGAGAGCGGGTCTCTTAAAGCTCGCGTAAGGAGTTATGGTTCCTTTTGGGCGCTCTGAAGACCAGCTCTCCCTGCCCCCGGGGGAGGAGTGGAGAGACAGACCCCAGAAAATCAACAAGAAGGATGCAGGGTAGATTTCAGAACCTTTCTCAACGGCAAGGGTCATCAAATAACCAAATGCAGGTGTGGCGGGGCATGTTATCTGGAAAATTCTCTCAACGTGAAATTAATGAGTCAGTGCGGGATGAGTTCAATGCCACCCAAAGCAAAGCACTGGCAAAGTGTCCCAGAGGAAACCATTTTGCCCGGACTGCTACATGGGACGGCCCTGCGACGGGAGAGGTCGGGGTACTGTTCCCTCCACCGACGGTCTGACCACCCGCTTGCCGAGGGGGAGGAAGGGTCTGAGTAAACATTCAGATGCCCAGCCCCACCCAAGTCCTGCTGACTCATCCCCTGGCCACGTGACACGGACATCTGCATATTTGAAGCAACGCCCCTAAAGTCTGAGAACCGCTGTCCTCAGGTTTCTCTGTCTATCAAAGGGAATTACTCATCCCCGCCTCCCTACCCCGCCCCACCCCCCATCAAACCCCGGCGATCGCTGAGCTCCCAGGTGCTCCCAAAGCGGAATGCGCTTTGGAAAGTAAAGCCCTGTGCCCAGAACCAGCGTTCTGCTCGGGGTTGGCGCTCAGTCTGGGGTCGGCACCAAGAAAAACAAAGCCTCTTCCCGCACGTTTTGTCGCCTTTCTCTCCCCACCCCACTGCCTCCCTCCCTCCCCCCTTCCCCCAGCAGCAGGTGGGGGCGTTTTCCCCGCCGCGGCACTGCAGTGGGGTGTGCGCGCCAGCAATCCCCGCGCGCGCGGCAGCCGCTGGTCTGGGGCCTGGGGTGAGGGTGGGGAATCCGGAACCCCCAGGCGTCCCCCTGCAGAGTCCCAGAAGCAATTTCTCTAGCCCAGGACCCTCCAATGAGAAGACAGGAGATCTGGCATCTCCCTCTTCAATTTCCAGCCTCTCTAGAGTATCCTCCTAGAGGAGGGAGAAGAGGTGGCAAGGGAGCTGGTGGGTTCTGAGCGCTCCCCAGACGCGTCTGGGGATATAAACTGGGTTTTAGACTCGTACATATCCGGATACAAAAACACTGGATGTGTGACCTTGGACGTGTACCTAACCGTCTCTGGATCTCAGTGTCCTCATCTTTAAAATGGGGTTCTTACCGCCTCGTGGGACGGTTGTGGTAATGCGTGCAAAGCACTAAACATGTTGCTGGCATAAAGTAAGCTCTCTATAAACTGATGTGTTATTCTTACCATTATCATTGCCATTACTCTTCTCAAAGAAGGTGGTTTTCCTGTCTTCCCCATCCCTTTGGACCCACCCAGCACGCCGCACATCTAGAATCTGAGTCCCCCCGATGGAGCCTGGGCAGTCACTGGGCGGTGGGCTCGGGATGAGGGAAGAGGGGGGGGTCAAGCACCCCACCCCCACCCTCAGTTCCGAGACCATACGGGCACTATCCCAGGCTTGGCCAGTGAGCTGCCAACCCGGTGGGCCGAGAAGGTCCGGGGTCCCCTACCGTCTGGCTGGCAGCGGGGGGGGGGGGAGGAAGGGTCTTTGTTCACCCTCGGATCACGACTGAAGACCCCCACCCGCACTGGACTCCCAGCGCAGCCTCCCCTCGGTCCCCCAAGCCCCACCCAGGCCCGAGTCTTGGCCGCACCCGACAAGTGCGGGCGGCAGCAGCTCTCCATCCAGCAAATGAGGGGCACTCCGCGCTGCCTTTGCCATCCCCTGAACACACTGCATGGGACCCCGGGACCCACCCTCGACCCCGACCTCGGGTAGCCGAGGCTGTTCGCCGCGCGAGGACCAGGACGCTTAGGGCGGGAAGGCTGTGAGCACGGGGCGGCGGCTTACCTCGGGTCCGCCGTTCTGCGGCGCGAGTGCAGAGGGCTCTTTGTGCCCGGGCTCACGGCGCAGAACTGGGGGAGCCCCTGCAAGCGCCTCCCCTCGCAAACTCCTCCCCGCACTCGTCCGCAGCCTCCCTCCCTCCGGTCCCCCGAGCGCAGCCGGCGTCGTCTTTGTAAGCTGCTGCAGCGCCCATGAAATTTTAATGCGGGAGCGGCTGGCGGGCGGAGGCGCCCCACCCCCGGCCCGCTCCTCGGCCCCCCTTGCGCCTCCGCCGCCCCCCCGGCTGCAAACCCATTGGCCTCCCCTCGCCCCCTCCCCCCAGGGGGTCCCGGCCGGCGAGCGGGGCAGAGGGGAAAGCGCGCCGCCGCGCCCGCGGCACAAAGGGGCGAGCTCTGCCTCCCGCATCTCCGCCCGCGGCGCTGCCATGGCAACGCTTGCGCGGCTGGACTCGGCCCGGGGCGCGCGGCTGGAGAGGTGCGCGCGACCGCGGGCCCGGGAACCCAAGCCCGGAGCCCCGCGTGATGGGAGGACCCAGGACACCGGTCCTGGAGCACCAGGTGCTTCACCCGCGTGGTCTCCGAGTATGCTTCTCAGTTAATCCTGTTAGATGGGTCCGAGCTTATGGTAGAGTCAAGACTCCAACCCCTGCCCGTGGCTTCATGCCCTTGTGTCTTCCACACCACCCCTTGGCCTAACCAATATTATAGGTTTGGGCTTTTATTTTTTGAACAGCCCTCTGCTTAGTACCTACTCCTCCGTAGAGTAGAGATGCTAGAAAACGGTCCTAGACCCGGAGCGTCAACATCACTTGGGAACTTGGAAGAAGTGCAAATTCTCAGGTCTCACCCCAACGCTGCTGGGTGGAAAACTCGGGTGGGGCCCGGAGACCTGTATTTGAGCAAACCCTCTAGGGGATTCTGATGCACATTCAAGCTTGGGCACCACTGTGCTAGACCGTTCCAGTGGCCTCTCTAACCAGCCTGTCCTGGGGTTCAATTTCAGCTTTGTCCACGTCCCTTAGCAGATGACCATGGACACAACGTCCCTGAGACTCGGTTTCCTAGCCCATAAAGTAGAGGTCATGATGGAATCTACCTCATAGGGTTATGTGGATTAAATGTGGAAATGCGTGGGAGAGGGGTGCTTAGCACGTGCCCGGCACTGAACAAAGGCTCAAAACACAATTTTTATTATTATAATGCTATGACATCCATTTAATTTTTACACTTCTGTGTATATCATTTATAACCTTCATTGCTCAGATAAGGACACTGAGACTCAGAGAAGCTGTGGGAGTTGCCCACAACCACAGTAGGGGACCCAGGCGGGATCTGAACTGACCACTTCAGGTCCAAGTTTACTGGTTGTCTTCCATATTGTCCATCTCCTCCTGGGACACCACCTCACCCCCGATTTGGTCTTCAGGAAATCCAAATCCCATTCAACAAGCCTACAGCACTTCCCCAATGTGCCCAGCCCAAGGACATTGCAGGAACCCTAAAGATCCCAGGGAGGTCCCAGATACTGCCCCCACCCTAGCAGAGCTAGCAGTTCTGCTCGGGAAGCAGGACTCACATGAAACAGCTAAAGAAAAGGCAGGATGGGGTGTGGTCACAGCATTGCCCAGAAGACAGAGCCAAAACGTTGCAATCACCAGCTCTACCACTTTCCCCTGGATCACCAGACCACAAACAAAAAGGAAGACTTTTTTAAAGTATTCCCAAGCCACCCTGTTTTGTAATCTGTCCTCGAATTCTCCTGAGTATCAGCCTATCATTTCCAATATCCACTTGGATAAAAAAATCAAGGCACTTGTCTGCTCCCAGATTTTCAACACTTCTCCTTTTCCCTGGGGCTTCTTAAAGATGAACAATAATGAGCCCATGGTCCTATTTCCAAGGATCTTTTGTTCTAGGGATAACCTTTCAAGGACAGCATTGAGAGAAAGGGTTGGGGGTGAGGGGGGCAGGCAAAAGAAATGATCGTGAGAAGCTGGTGGGGGTTCACTGTGAGGTGACCATGTCTAACTCAGGTGGACTCAGGGTGAGTCATAAACTGAGTAACAGAAGGAAGGGCCAGACCCCACATCCAGCAGCCACCAAAACCAGCCTGAACCCGCCTGGCTGTCCTCTGCCCCAGTCCTATAACACAGCACATTTCTTGATCATGGGGAGCCCAAACTAGCTCTCCTCTTTTGGTCCACCTGTTGAGTGCCTTTATGGTGGGCAAAATTCCTCCATTTTCCTGCAGAGGTTTAGAAACCCATGATGCCTTCCTCATCCTGCAGGCTCAGGGCACTTAGTACCGTTAGTTTGATAGCTACATGTAGCACGCTTCTTGTCTCCCCATCAAAGTAACTCTGACTCTCACCTTATCCTGTGGGGAGGCCCCGGACATTGCAGAGCACACCCCAAGATGGTAAATGTCATCCTCACCCCGTCTTGCCAGGAACTCATCTTCCGGGTGACATTTACAGAGCTAACTCGGGCCCCGAGAGCCCACAAGCAGATAAGAACACCAGATGGAACCCCAAAGAGAAGTGTCAACGTTCTCTCTTCTGCCTCTCTTGAAAATGGCCTGAGCCTCTTATGATGGAGCACTGGTTGCCACGGCAACGGGAGGAGGCGCCATCATACATCTCAGAAGATCCACTTGAGAATAAACTTTGCTCTTTTAAACTGGACCAGGCAGCTCACCCATTCCCACCAGGATGTGCAAACAAGATTGTCTTTGGCTCATGACACTGTCTGCCACTCAGCCCGAGTTCCAGGGGAATTCTGACACTGGTCACATGTTCAGAAGGGGACGGTGGGGGATGCAGTTTTCTCTTTATCCTTAAAGCAGCCCCTGGAGAAACCAGGGTGGCCCCAGAGGTCATGGCTCCAGTTGTGACTCTGTCATCAGTACACTGGGTACTGCTGAGCACTCATGTACCCCACCATGCTTGTTGGATTTTTTAGTTGAACCTCACATAATATAAAACTAACCACTTTAGGCGCCTGGGTGGCTCGGTCGTTGAGCGTCTGCCTTCAGCTCAGGTCATGATCCCAGGGTCCTGGGATCGAGCCCTGCATCAGGCTCCCTGCTCCGCGGGAAGCCTGCTTCTCCCTCTCCCACTCTCCCTGCTTGTGTTCCCTCTCTCGCTGTGTCTCTCTGTGTCAAATAAATAATAAATAAAATCTTTAAAAAAAACTAACCACTTTATTTTCTTGTCTTGTAAATATTTTTTTCATTTTTTTTCACCATGGTAAGTGTACGCTTTAGTTCCCACCCCCTATTTTCCCCATCCATGCACCCCACCCCTCTGGTAACCAGCAGTCTTCTATAGCTAGGAGTCTGTTTCTTGGCTTCTCTCTCTCTCTCTCTCTCTCTCTCTCTCACACACACACACATTTTTTCCCCTTGTTTGTTTTGTTTCTTAAATTCCACTTATGAGTGAGATCATATGGTATTCATCTTTCTCTGACTTATTTCACTCAGCATTATATACTCTAGCTCTATCCCTGTTGTTGCAAATGGCAAGATCTCATTCCTTTTGATGGCTGCACAATATTCCATTGTATTTATATACCATATCTTCTTTATCCATTCATCAGTAGATGGACATGGGCTTTTTCCGTAGTTGGGCTATTGTAAATAATGCTGGTAGTAACAAAGGAGTTACAATTCCCCTTGAATTAGAGTTTTTGTATTCGGGGGGTAAATACCCAGTAGTGTGATTCCTGGATCATAGGGTAGTTCTAGTTTTAATTTTTTGAGGAACCTCCATGTTGTTTTCCACAGAGGCTGCACCGGTTTGCATTCCCACCCACAGTGCACAAGGGTTCCTTTTTCTCCACATCCTGGCCAACATCTGTTGTATCCTGTGTTTCTGGTTTTAGCCATCCTGACAGGTGTGAAGTGATATATTGTGGTTTTGATTCCCACTTCCCTGATCATGAGGGATGGTAAGCACATTTTCATGCGCCTGTTGGCCATCTGGATGTCTTCTTTGGAGAAATGTCTGTTCATGCCTTCTGCCCATTTTGATTGGATTATTTGTTTTTTGGGTGTTGAGCTGTATCAGTTCTTTATGTATTTTGGAGACTAACCTTTTATTGGATACGTCATTTGTAAGTATCTTCTCCCACTCAGTAAGTTGCCTTTTAGTTGTCTTGATTGTTTCCTTCACTGTGCAGAAGCTTACAACATTCACAATGTGCACCCACCACCTCTGTCTAGTTCCAAAACACATTCATCACCTTAAAATACCCCCCACCCATTAAGCAGTTACTCCCGGTCCTCCCCTTACCCCAGCTGCCGGCGACAACTAATCTGCTTTCTGTCTTTATGGATTTACCTATTCTGGTTATTTTCTATAAATGGAGTCATACAATATTTATCTTTGAGTTCCAGGCTATTCCACCCAGCATAATGCTTTTGTGGTTTATCCACGCCGTAGTACGTGCTAGTGTATTCCATTCCGTTCCGTGGCTGAATGCTATTCCAACATATGAATAGAATACAATTTGCTTACCCACTCATCTGGATTTGCGTGGCTTCCATCTTTTGGGGGCTGTGAATTGTGCCGCTGTGACCATGAGTGTACAAGGATTTGTTGGAGTCTCTCTTGCCAATGTTTTGGGAAATACACCTCTCTGTCCCGCATTCCTTTTGATACTGTCCCAAAGCATGTGGTCAGGGGGTTCTAGAGTCAGTGACAAGGTGGGCTTCTTTACCTTGTTACCTAAACGAGTCACACAGAGCCCACCAGCACCAGCACCAGCACTGGCGTCACCTCTCTGCTTGGCCACACCTGTCTTGCCTCGTGAGGAAGGGCTGTGGGAAAAGATTCAGTCTGCCCTCAAACCATGTTATTGACCAAGACTGTGTGCATCCATCACGACATTAGGGGATCTCCTCTCTGACAGTTGTTCCCTGAGAAACAGGGAGAAAGTTTCCCAGAGACCATGAGGCCAGGCAGGGCTGGGCTGGGAGGTGTGCCGGCCAGAGCGGGAGCTTGGTGAGGAATGAACTCGGAGCGTCCGCAGGGGGCCAGCCCAGGCAGGGCCTTGCAGGTA